GAGCAGTAGTATTAGATGATATTTCAAAAAGTTGTTTTTTTATTTCGGATTTTTTGCGTTCCAAATTTTTCTTATGAAAACTCTTAACGGATCATAAAAATATATTTAATTATATGATAAATTTATTTATTAAATTTATTTATTTAAGAAATCTGCTTTAAATCCAAAAAATGGTTTAGGGTATACCCTAAAATCTTTTTATTGAAATAAAGCATAATAAAATATATCTTTTCTAACAAATCAGCTGATATTAATAGCGGATTGTCCTTTGAAATTTTTAAATATTTTTTTTCTGTTGAATTTAAAATTTCATTTTTATATTTTTCAGATTTTTTATTCTGAAAAAGTGTTCCGAATTCTCTTTGCTGCATCATATTCTAGGTAACCAAAGAGATATTTAAATAAACAAATAAACTATACTTAATATTATATTATTATCTTCGATAAAAATTGAATTTCCCATAAAAATCTAATAGGAAAAATAGCGGAATAATATTAAACATTATGTTACCGCATTTATATTAAGAGGGTTGATAGTTTATTTTATATTTTTGAATCAGACAAACCCCAATAATATAGCTAAATCGAATAAATATATTAATATAATTATAGTTACCAATTTTTCTGGAATAATTTTTTCATTTTTATTCATTTTTCGATACGTGCGTTTTTTTGGAATAATGGAATTTTTTATAGGATAAATATTTTTATTAATAATTGCTGCAAATTGAATATAATTTTAATAATTATTAATTAAATAATCAATTTCAAAAAGGTTTTTAATATTAAAATAGTTAAATTAAAGTAAAGCGACTGAATTATTGTTATATATGAATAAGAGAACTTATTATTAATTTTTCTTATATTTTATATTAAAAAACTTTTTCTCTATTCGAAATAGTTAGTTTAATTATTAAACTTAATAGTTTTTACAGATAATTCTTTCATCTTTATTTGACTTTTTTGATATCTGTCCTTTATTTGTATTATTTAAAACACAATTGGAATGCATGAAACGACGATTCCATATTTCTTCAACTTTGCATATGACCTTATGTAAGTTTGATTCATTTGTTTGACCAAAAATATTTTTTTCACTTGCCATATCAATAACTAATTTAATAAATCTTAATAATTACACAAGACGATAGTTTATTTTTCACGGGAAAAAACGAAGTGAACTGAAATGTCGATAAAATCAACATTTACATCTAATTGTCAAGGAAACTTAATTGTAAAAATTCATTAAAAAAATGTATAAGCCAATTATAAATAAATTTAGTATAAACAATAATTATTTATTTTAATTGTATTATTGGTCAAAGAATACAATATTTTAAGAATTTACAGAGAATTTAGTATAAACAATACTTATTTATTTTAATTGTGTTATTGGTCAAAGAATACAATATTTTAAGAATAATACAGAGAATTATCAAAAAAAAAAAAT